ACAAGGACTAAGATGTGTTCCTTGGATTACTGAAAAATCCTGTTACCCTAGTTTGAAGTAGTCAGGACTAGGAATCGGTGGTAGATCTTACATCCCGTAACGTACCACGAAAAGGTGATCTACCCACGTTACGGGGTAGGTTGAAGGTTAAATTTGGCAACAACTAACAACGTTTAGCGTCTACCGAAATTATTTTTTTATAAACCCTCAGGATCTCAGTTCAACTGAGGAATGTGCCAACGAGTGTATCTCATTAGGCCTAAATACGTTAGGCATAAGGTCATAGGTGTGTATCTATCTTGCGAGTCTTGGAATTTCTCTAAAGTTTTCACAATTTTCTTCAAGTTTTCTAAACTTCTCTGAAGTTTTTTTTTGTCTTTCCTGAAGATATCTCTGAAGTTCCAATAACTTCCTAAAGATCCTGCAGCTGATGAAGCCACTTTAAATTTCTCGAAGCTTGCCTAAAGTGGCCACAATTTTACAGAAGTTTCCTTGCTATCCCGCAGTCTGTCCATGAAACTTCTTCAAAATCATCGGTATTTCCATTCATTCCTCAGAACTTCATCAAAGTTCCTATAATGTTAGTTAACCACCCTGAAGTTCTCTTATCTATCATGGAGTTCTCACTTTTCTTCTGACGATGTTCCTGACATTGCCTTGAAATTAATAAAACTGCCATAAAAACTTCGCGACGATTTCTGCAGTACCGTGTTTGCTTGTTTTTTTTATCTTTCGGTGAAGTTTCCGACATTTTTCTAGTTTTCTAAATTTCCTAATGTTCTCTAGACTGTCATTATTTGTTGGAACCCTTTGAAGGTTCTCGCTATTTTCCTGAATTTAATGAAACTGCCCAATAGTGCTCAAAATACACCTGAAGTTCTCGGTACTTCGCTGAATCATGAAACTGTCCTGAACTGTCAGAAACCACACGAAGTTACGTAGCTTACCTTAGGATCTTTAAACTCAACTGAAGTTCTTGCAACGGAAGCTTTTGAAGTTTCCTGAATTTAATAGAACTGCTCTAAAGCTCTTGGATCTTCACTGAAGTACTCGAAACTTTCCCAAAATCTATGGAACTGCCTTGAAGCTATCGCAAAAAATCTTAAAATTTCCATGTTGTTCTGAACGTTCTTTGTGAACTGATGGTTTCGGAATTTCCTTTCAACTATTGAAATTTTTCATAAAATTATCAGATCTCACAATTTTTCTAATGCTAATGGAACTAAAATCAAGCTTTCAAAAAAAAAATAAGTTCTTAGAACTTCATTTAAATTACCGAAATTTTTCTGGCGATTACGAGGCTCTTAACTTCTAGACTTTGTTCTTGGAACATCTATTATTAAGAAGTTGATCGAACACACCTAAAGTTCTTGAGGTTTCACAACTTTACCATGAAAATGCCATGAAATTCTCATAACATTTCCAAAGCTCTCTGAGTTTTCCCAAAGATCTTTGAACTTATCTGAAATTTTCTGATGTTTATTATTCCTGGAATGTTAATGATGGTAATGTAACTGTCATGCACATTGTAGTCGAAATACGTATCAGTCATGGATACCAACATTCTCTTTACTCTTTACCCTTCTTGCATTTAATCAGCATGAACCAACTCCAATGCGCTCAAAGGATTGATTTTTGTTAAACACAGCTGGGTCGAGCAGACGCACCAATCTACTCGAAGGTTAAATTTTGTCAGACACAATAAGGTGTAACATCTATTAAGAGACCCAAATACCCATTTGAAGGTTAAATTTGGCAACAACTAACAACGTTTAGCGTCTACGGAAATATTTTTTTATAAGCCCTCAGGATCTTAGTTCAACTGTGGAATGTACCAACAAGTGTACCTTATTACGCCTAAATACGTTAGGCATACGGACGTTAGGCATAAGATCTTTGGTGTGTATTAGGGAACGCTTGCGAAAAAAGACTAGGGAGCGAAACGGATTCGAAACTCAAATGTCATTAGTCAAATACATCAGGTCCACCGTTGTATAAGTGGCAATGCACCCGTGTACTGAATGGGAATTGTGGGTTCGAATCCCACCGGTGCCCTTAGATTTTTTCGCAAATTTTCTCACATACAGTCTGTTATCTATGATATGTGCTTACCTCTCAGTATCTTCTCACTTTCGTATAAACAATATTTCATGTTAAATATCATATAAATCATCAATATTGTATACAAGCTACAAATGTATAAAAATTAAGCAAGGGAAAATGATACGCGATGGTTAGAATTCAGATTTTTTTTCTGTGCGGTTAATTCCCAGTTCAGTGGCCACTTTAAAGCGCTGCCCCCTACAATTAAACTTTAAAATTAACAGCTAATAGACTTCTAAAACTTCCCCACATGCTATTTCAAAACTACCCAAATTCGGGTAGAATCCACCCAGATCGATCAAAACTGAACTTACCCAAAAATGGGTAAACTATGTTGGGAGCAGGGCGTCATAATATCAGCTTCAATCGACCAAATCGATGCGACGAAGAGACTGCTGGCTTTCTTTTTCTGATAAAGTCGAACAGCTTCGCAGCATTCTAGAACCTCAGTCGGCGTGCACAAACAAATGTTCAATCGCTTGTCTCTCTTTCTCCCGTCGCTCCATTGGTCTTCCTTTCAAGCTTCGGTGAAACGGATGAGCGAAAGAGCGCTCGACTTTGATAGTTTTCTCTTTCATGAAACACATCAACAGCGGTTTCATGACGTATATGACGGAAAATGAAATAACACATTTAAAGCATTTCTCACGTGAAAACACATGAAGATTACACGTAATATTTTTAATTTATCTTCCATCCATATATTTATCTAAAAAAAATTATCAAAAACGGGACATAACGCATTTTAAACAAATTGAAAGAGCGGTGATAGAGTGTTTGTGAAAGGGGATTGAAAGCCATAATGAGGTTCGTTTGACAAGAAAATCGACGTTAGTTACATTGAAAGCGATGGGCAAAGCAACGACGAGAAGTTCCACAGCCAGCCTTTCCTTCAAAGCGTGCTTTTTTTTCACTATCATTTCTTGCTGATAGTCTAGATAGGCGTTATAGAAATGAAGCGTCGAACACGTATGTATGAGAGAAAAAAAACACGAGTTCATTTTAGAGCTTCGAAAATGTAGAGCCCTGGTTGGGAGTGACAATCCGATCGACTTTGTTCATTTGTCAACTTGTCACTCCCAACATAGTGTACCCATTTTTTGATAGATTCACTTTTGACCGATCTGGGTGGATTCTACCCAAATTTGGATAGTTTTGAAATAGCGTGCATATCAAGAAAGACCCAAAGAGTCAACTTAAAAGTAAGACAACCTTTAAATTAATCGCCAATCGAGGGCACGTAACGCAAAGCAGGAGCCAGAAGGAATTGCAAAAAAAAAAACTTGAACAACAAACGATCAAAGCAAGCGGGAGAAAAATCCGGTCCCCCCAGGAGCAACTCGCAGCCGACTACCGACCAGAACACCGCCGTTGTTGGTGCATGCAAAAAAGCGCAGCCCGAAACAGCAGATAAACCATAAAAATCTGAAAACGTGTCGAAAAATAAAACTGCAAATAAAATGTTGCACTTTTCCACGCAAAGATTTCCCCGTTCGTCTTTAGCGTAGGTCCTAGCCACTATTCACTACCCCACTCGTCGACGATGTCCCGTGTTTCACTTTCGTCATCGTTCACACAATACGCGCAGCATAGTGTTTTTTTCCCAATCGCCTGCTATGCTTTAGGATTTTCACCCTCTCCTCTGGGTGCGTCCGTGAGTGGTGAGTGAGGTTAGGTTTGTGTGAGTTCGTTCCACTGAAGAAAGGATGCAGTAAAGGACGAACGGGCGACTGGCTTGTGTCACACTACCACAGTCACAATCGGTGACGTCATCGATTGTGTTCCTTTTTGTGCTCGGAGCTGATTGGCCTGGGTGGTGCTCGCTAGCCACGCCCCCGATCCGAAAGGATACCCTGCTGGATGGCAAGTTGCTAGGGATGCTTTCGCCTGGCAGCGTGCTTGTAGGGGGTTATCACAGCATCAGCAGTAGCCGTGTGTGGCAGGTTTTGAGTTCACGTTATTGAATTAGGCTTATCATTTGATTTTGGCTACGGGAAGCAACCGGTCGCGTGCTGCGTTTTTGTCTGTGTCTCTAGCAGAGTTCCTCCGGAAGTGTCTCGAAAGTTGAGAGAGTTTTGCGGTTTTGCACAAATCTTCGGTGGAAGTGTGTTTTTCCCAGCCCTGGCTGGCACCTGCTGAGCTTTTTTTTCCTCCGGTTCGAAATCGTGACAGGTGTTGAGGAAATTGAAGAATTTTCCGACGTTTAATTGAAGGTTGTTTTGCAACAAATAACAAACTACAGAACGTCGTCGTAGTTGGCGTTGGTTCACGTGAGTGAGTGAGGTTATGTGTTTGAGCTTCTAGCGTGACTTGACGCTGACGTCTTTAAGTAAGCGACGAAGGGCGGCGGAAGATAATCCAATTTGAACCCAGCAGCAAACGTAATAATCTATTCCTGATTCGATAACAGTAACAATGATTTCGATCTGATTGAAACGCGCTCGATGTTAATCGTCGTGGTGTGGTTCCGGGTAGGTCGTATCTTTAAAAAATAATTTTCCGCATGAAACTTGAATTGCGCGAAAAGTGAGTGTTGAAAAGGTGCGAAAAAAAAACATAACAAGTGGGAAGTATTGTGAGGCTCATGAAAAAGGCATGAACCCCCATCGGAGGAGGTGTTGAGCGGTAAACTCATGGATAATAAAAATAAATAACCCAAAATAAAAACGAGCAAAAGCAAAACGTAGTCGGATTGTGTGGTGTACGACGGAACGGTGTTCGGCACAGCACGGCACAAGTGAAAATTAATATTTAATTTCATTTTTGGCACCATCCACCCCTCGGCGGAAAACGAGTAGCTAAAAAAGCATCAGCATTATCGTAATCGAACCACCCCGCGTACGTCAATCGGAAGGAACACAAGCAAAAAAACAACCGCCAAAATTTATCCCCACGAGATGGACTATTCCTACCTGAACCAGGCGGCGGCCGGATTCGATTCCAGCTGCCTCCAGGGTGGTATGGACCCGACGGGGCTCGGCAATATGCCCTGCACCTACGGGGATCTGACGTCGTGTAGTCAGATGTCGCAGGCCGCCTATCGGTACACGGCAGCGGCGGCATCGATGGCCCGTTCGTACAACCCAGTCGGAACGGGAGTTGGACCCGGGAATGTGGGAATGAGCGCGCTGCACCATGCTGCGGCGGCGGCGGCCGGACCCGGCAGCCAGTGCTCGGTGATGGGTGGCAGGACGCATCAGGATGTGCACCGAGCTTCCATGTTTCAGACGTCGATGAATTTGCAGTGTGAGTATTTGAGAACATTTGTTCGATTCTTATTAGACGGTCCAACACTTGAGGATTATATTAGATGTAGAAGAAGATAACCTACTTTCTGAATGTTTGTGTAATGTTTTTTTTTTATATTCACCAGACTAATGCGCTTAATTATCTATATTTAAATGATTATAATCCAAACGATTGCAAAAGCGCATCTAGATTAAATTTTGGGTGTGAGAAAATGATTATGAATTAAATGTTTTTTTTTTAATAATTTATTTCTCTAGCTGAATCCAAAAATTGGCAAGATGTGAAAATTCAATGTTAGCAACGTCAACCTATAAACTGATGCATAGTTTTCATCTGTCATCTGAGCATTAATAAAATCAAATATTACTGGCAATGTGAACTTCCAAGCATGTCAACTTGTTTTTTTTTTCATACATCCTAGGAACTTGTGAGAAACACTACTTACACGTTTGTTAGCAAGATGGTCGTTTTTATACAACATTTCATATGAGGTTACCAAGCCAGGGGCAGCTGGTTCAATTCCTTATCCGGTCCAATGCATTTTTCGCGTTGGAAATTTGCCACTTGTACTTGCCACTTAATATACAAATTCACGTGGTTCTGGCTAGGTTGGTAGAGAAAGCTCTCAATTAATAACCGTTGCGACTATATATTTGGTCAAATGTTAAGAACTTTTACAGGTTATTTGAATTTACAAATATGGTCTAATAATCCGCTACTTGGGGTGATGAGAAACACCTGACTTCGAAGCTCTGTAAAATCTTATTGGAATGTTTATAACGACCACCAGTTTTCTATCACCCCAGGTGGGGTGAAAAAGCATCAGCTTGCTAAAAATATATAAATGTAAGTATTGAAAAATCTAAAGATACATCAACATATGCGTGAATTTGGTATGATTTCATTTGTAAACGATATCGTATCACATCGCACTGACTCAATAGAACTATTGTCATCCTTAAATTTATATACACCATCTCGGCATTTACGAAATAGAAATATATTTGCTACAAATCGTCATCGTACGAATTATGCCAAATTTGGACTCTTGAACCAAATGATGGACACATATAATAAGCACTGCAATAACATTGACTTTACAATGACAAAAACCAAATTAAAGCTATATTTTAATTCCTCGCGTAGCGTCAGCTAGAAGTATTTTTTCGACTTGTTCTCAAGACATATTATAAAAAATATAAACAAAGACTAAATTGTAAAAATAGCACTCAAGACAACAATTGTAAAACGGTCTACACTGATTGACGAAAAATAAATAAATTAATGACAGTTGGGTTGGTTTGTAGAAGCATTAATCAGGTCCAGAATATGCGTCGGTTGCATTGGTACTCAGTACGGAGAACAAGATCGACGGAAAACAAATCAATGAAAAAAACAAGTTTCAATGGTTTGGCTTGTAAAACTGATCTCTAAAAACTGATTGTCATGTCTTGAAATTGGTGGAAATATAGTTTGATATGTTAGTTTAAAACTCTAACACGGCGCATGTGCTATGAATTTTTAAGTAAGGGGCTGTTTATAAACTACCCCTTGCGTAGACAATGCATGGAATGGTACATGCAATTTTTTTTGAAAATGTGTATGAATCGTAGACACTCGCCAAACCCAACCGTCTTCCCTAAAGTTTTGAAACCCAACCAGAGGATGTAAGATTTGCTAACAATAATGTGGGATTTGTCATCGCAGGATTGTAGTGGAATCCGAGCTGTGGACCAATGAAAGAAAATGGAGAAAGAAAATTGTGGAGTGTATTAGTGAGTGAAAGGAATCATGTCGAAAACATAAATAAAAAAAAATTATGCCGACAGGACTCGAACCACGAACCATCAATGCTCTCTCCATTTAATTCCACTTAATTAATTTTGGTATCTATGACAGGAATTAAATGGAAGATAACCTTTTTTGCTGTTTTATTTAAGCATTCTCTAAAAACCCAATTTCATTACTTCATTATGATAGCTACCAAGCCTTTGGGGATTTTCCTTATTAGAGAGTTGATTTAGATTTTTCTCCTTTAGTTTACTTAAATCTTTGTTTTTTATTAGTTAGGTAGGTTCCGATTCAACACATTGTAGTTTCATTTTTATACCTGTGATCTTGACCTAGGGGATGAGTACTTAAGGGGGTTAGATTTTGATAAGTTATTTAGTGGGAATGACGCTGATGAAGACTGTACATTGTTGTCGAAATACGTATCTGTCATGGATACCAAAATTAATTAAGTGGAATTAAATGGGAGATAACCTATTTTTGGTGTTTTGTTTAAGCATTCTGCTAACAACCCAATTTCATTACTTCATTCAATATATAAGTGTTTTTACATTGTTCATGTCTTGGCAATTCAGTATTTTAAACAGGTTTTTTAACCTGCATGTCAGTAAAACAATTGATATCTTAAAACTAAAAACTAAAACTAAATCTTATCTAAGTATAAAGGGAATTAATCGTTGCAATTGAGGATTGTAACGATTTTTGCCGGAAATTATTAATTATTTTGTTGGACATTTGTGCTAAAGTCTCAACATTCGAAAATCTATGTACTTTGGTAGTACTGTACCAGGGAGGCAACTTCAAAATCATCTTCAGAACTTTGTTCTGAATCCTTTGAACAACAAGACCATATTGGCACAGCGTAAAGCATGGCCGGTCTAAAAACTTGTTTAAATATTAGAAGTTTATTCGTCAGGCAAAGTTTGGATTTCCTGTTTATAAAAGGATACAAACATTTTATATATTTGTTACATTTGGCTTGAATGCCCTCAATGTGATCTTTAAAAGTTAATCTTGGTCAAGTATTAATCCAAGATATTTCACTTGGATTGACCAGGAAATTGGAACTCCGTTCATAGTGACTATGTGATTACTACTAGGTTTCAAAAACGAAACTCTAGGCTTATGTGGAATCGTTGGGAGAAATCTTCCATTTTTGTAAATAAGAAGAGAAAATATCTAAACTTTTCTGCAGTCTGCTGCAAATAACACGAATACTTCTTCCTTCATCAGCGAACAAAGATTTGTGGCAACCCTGAGGCAAATCAGGGAGGTCCGAAGTGAAAATGTTATACAATATAGGCCCAAGAATGCTACCCTGAGGAACTCCTGCTCTAACAGGTAGTCGATTAGATTTGGAATTTTGATAATTTACCTGCAGAGTTCTGTCAGTTAAATAATTTTGAACTAATTTCATGATATAAAGTGGAAAATTGCACTTTTTCAATTTAGCAATCAAACCTTCATGCCAAACACAGTCGAATGCTTTTTCTATGTCTAGAATAGCAGCTCCAGTTGAGCAACCTTCAGATTTGTTTGAACGAATTAAATTGGTAACTCTCAAGAGTTGATGAATAGTTGAATGCCCATGGCGAAATCCAAACTGCTCATCTGCAAAAATTGAGTTCGTATTGATGTGAAGCATCATGCTATTCAAAATTATCTTTTCAAAAAGTTTACTTATTGAAGAAAGCAAACTTATTGGACGGTAGCTAGAAGCTTCAGCTGGATTTTTATCCGGCTTCAATATTGGAACAACTTTTGCATTTTTCCATTTATCAGGAAAGGATGCCAAATGGAAACATCTGTTAAATAATTTTACCAAGAAAGACAAGGTACTCTCTGGGAGTTTTTTGATGAGGATATAGAAAATTCCATCATCACCTGGAGCTTCCATATTATGAAACTTTTTAGTTATAGATCTTATTTCGTCCAAATCAGTCCCCCAGGAATCATCAAAAATATTTTCCCGAGAGAAAATTTTCAGATAATCCCGATCAACCTGATTCTCAATAGGACTAGTTTCCAAATTTGTGATCAAAATTGGAATAGGATTTCGCGTTCTTTTTTCAAAATTTTTGTGAGTTTCCAAAAGGGTTTTAAACTCGGGTCTTATTAAGAAACGTTCCTCTGGGCAAAGAATTGCTTTTTAATTTGTTTTTGTAAATCCCGCCAGATAACTTTCATGGCAGGATCGCGTGTTCTTAGATATTGTCTCCTACGGACATTTTTAAGACGGATCAAGAGCTGTAGATCGTCGCCTATTATAATTGAATCGAATTTAACCTCACATTTTGGTACTGAGGCAGCTCTTGCTTCAACTAAAGAAGTAGTCAGATATTCAAGAGCATAATTAATTTCATCGTTGGTTTGCAAAGGAATCTTTGGATCGAAGTTATATTCCATAAATGTTCGATATTGCTCCCAATCAGCTCTATGGTAATTGAAAATAAAGCTGTTTGGATTAGAAATTATTTCTTGGGATATTTCAAAAGCTACTGGAAGGTGATCAGAACTGAAGTCAGCATGGGTAACCAATTGACTACAAAGTCGACATGAATCAGTTAAGGCCAAATCAATAGTTGAGCGATTTCTTGCAGAAGAAAAGCATGTTGGGCTGTTTGGACATTGAATAGTGTAATAACCTGCAAAACAATCATCAAACAGAATTTTACCATTGGAATTGCTTTGAGCATTATTCCATGAGCGGAGTTTTGCATTAAAATCACCAATAACGAAGAATTTAGACCTATGACTGGTAAGTTTCTGAAGGTCACCCTTGAAAAAATTCTTTTGCTGGCCTACGCATTGGAATGGCAAATAGGCAGCTATAAACGTAAGTTGTCCAAATTTTGTTTCAACAGAAACTCCCAAAGTTTCAAAAACTTTGATTTCAAATGAAGAAAGAATTTTATGTTTGATTCGTCTATGAACAATGATGGCAACGCCACAACAGGGTCCATCAAGACGATCATTTCTATAAATGAAATAAATTGCGTCCCTATTAACCTTATAGTCAGGTTTAAGGAACGTTTCAGTTATAACGGTAATATGCACGTTAGAACTCTCAAAAAGTTAAATAGCTCGTCTCCATTATTTTTAAGCGATCAAGTATTCCAATTTAAAATATTTAAGGATTTAAAATCCATTACTGAATTTCAAAGTCATGACAATATTGTTCGCAAATTTTACTCCAGTTTGAATAG